TTGCACCGATGGTCTCTTTTAACAAGGGTTCGGGTCATTACGTGTCGGATTTCGCGCTCTTTGATGAGACTGTTGCAGTTTCTGGCAGTTTCGGGTCAAAGAATGCAGTTGATCCGAACCGGAGAAAGCACCGCCGCACGGGCTCGCGTCGTCTGCTCCAGCAACACGAGGATGTTCCAATGATTCATGCAAATTCTTGAGAAAAAAAAATTGACCGTTGTTCTTTTACCCTCTCCCGATTCGCGAAATGATGACTCTACAGCTTATGTTTCCCTGATGACCCGGGTGTTTTGAGAAGATTTTATTGTAAATGACTGTCGAAACGGGAGCAATTTTTGTTTCCGTGAAGAAATTATTCAACTTTCTGAGAACCTGAATTTCTTTCACCATCTTGTCACTTGTGAATGTGGGATGATTTCGATTTTTTTTTTCGAGAATGAAATCGAGTCATCGTCACGAATGGTAACCCTTTTCAATCAAAATAGAATCTTGTTCCGACGAAACTCGATATAACGAAGGATCGCACACGACGAATTCGTTTTTAGGTCCCTGTCCAAAGACCACAAGGTTATGTCCAGTTTCTCTACAGCGAATTTTTGGTTATTGAGAAGCGATTTCACTGGTCCCTTCACTGGCTTTTTGTAATGAGAATCCACTGTATCTGATAAGTATGGGTGCATTTACGAGTAGGTAAAAACTTTTTTTTTCAAATGCCATTAAGGTATCCAAACTTTTTGTGCGTTACTTCAGAGTAAAATTAAATGGAGATGGAATTTATTTTGTGAAAATTCTGTGACTTGTTCATGTCTTGGGTTATCCTGATCAGGCCTGGCTTTTTCAGTTTCTTTGTTCCACGTTCAATGTACTGTATAACAGTTTTTGTGTACCACATTTGGTACAACAAGTACTGCTGGGTGAATTTGACTTACATTGATGACATAGTACAGTTCAGTGAGACCCCCACATGTGGACACCTTGACCTGCGTATAATTTGACATGCGGACACTTATTTTCCCATTAAAAATTAATAAGAAAGGCCTGACAAAGGGACATTTTGTGATAAAATTGCAAATTCATTCCAGGCCAAATTACAAGAAGCAGATATTTCCAACCCTAGAATTGATGCAAGAAAAGTTCTTGGGCATTTCTCTCACCAATTTACCATTCATTTAGCAAATTTTAAAAAATTACCTCCGGCATACAGTGACTTCCTTCTATATTTACCACTTGAATTTTATTTTTTACAGAGAATGCCAAAATTTCTATGTACTGTAAAGAGGTATCATTATTCAATTCCCCAAATGTCCATATTGTGTTGAAATATATTGATTGAATCAGTTTAAATTGGGAGACAATGTTTATTTTCATGGAATTATGGTGAGTATTTTGTACATAAAACACCAATTAAAACTTATATAATGTAAGTCTAAGGGAAAGTGAGACTTGACTTATAGACATTTTGACTTAGAGACACTCAATGCACCAATTATGTCTACATCTTGGGGTCTCACTGTTTTTCATGACATCCTGATTTATCTCTCACAATTTGTGCTGGACATACTGTACTGCTGTATATTTGTATATTTGGCTGCCCTTACAATTACAAATCCAAGTCTATTTTTCTATCCTTATGCTCCTTATTGTTTCTTATGCAGTAAATTTTCAATATGACAAAGCCAGTGGGACCAGTAAAAAAGCTGCCTTCTAACAATAAATTTGATATAAAGCTTTTTGAATGACATTATTGCGATTGAGCCGGGACCAGAAATAATTAATTTTTTGTAAGATTCTACTGTCTTTCTAATTTCTGCTTTCACATTGAATTTTTTCTTTTTCATTTTTCAAGAGTCCACCTCACGAGACTCTGACGTACCGTTTTTCAAGTGCCCCGAAGTACTCATTGGTGGGATATTCTACGGCATTTGCGTACAGGAGGTCTTTTGAAGTGGGAACCAAAAAGAGGTCGTAAAAAATGCCGTTTTTGTGGCTATGGTTGAATGGCCCTGTAATATATCACATACACAAAGCACTCTGGACAGAGAAGCACGAAAGGTTCCTCGATTGAGAATGTAGGGTCAAAGAGCCGGTTGGGACATCAGCTGATGTTTTTTTTTTTCATTGAAAATCACGCGTGCTGAGAGATACGAAGAGATCATTTGAAGTGGTACTCCTTTCTCCTTGACTCTCGTTGTTGCGGTGTTTACCGTGTTTACAAGTGGTTAATCTCACCTTGTCTTTTGATGTGAAGTGAGACCCCGAGATGTGGACATAATTGGTGCATCAAGAGTGTCCCTAAGTTGAGTCTCATTTTCCCTTAGACTTAGATTATTTAATTTTAAATGGTGTTTTATGGACAAAATACTCACCTTGATTTGATGAAAATAGAAATTGTCTCCCAATTTAAACAGATTCAATCAATATTTGTATTTTAACACAAAATGGACATTTGGGAAATTGAATACTGATACCTCTGTACAGTTCATAGAAATGTTGGCATTCTCTGTAAAAAATAACATTCAAGTGAAAAAGAGAGAAGGAAGTCCCTCTATGCTGGAGGTAATTATTTTTAAATTAGCTAAATGGATGGTAAATTGGTAAGAGAAATGATCAAGAACTTTTCTTACATCAATTTTTAGGGTTGGAAATATCTGTTTCTTGTAATTTGGCCTGAAATGTATTTGCAATTTTATCTCAAAATGTCCTTACGAGGGTTCTAACAAAAATTCTTGGAGTAGGACTTTTGTTCAAAAAAATTTTTCAAACAGGGCTGTTATTTTTTTTGTGCCAAAGAATATGTTTTCCCTAAAGAATAAATTTTGTTCAGCTCAATTGTAAGCCATTTTCATTGCTACTCCGAGAACTTTTGTTAGAACCATTGTATGTTGAGTCAGTGTTTTCATTTTGGGCCTGTTTTATTAATTTTCTGTGGGAAAATGAGTGTTCCTATTTTGAATTGTCTGCATTTTGAGGAGTCCGCATGTGTGGGTCTCACTATTATTATTTTTCAATCCATTTGCTGTTTTTTTTAAACTTTCTGTCACTACTTTTTTTTTCAGGTAATTGAGTTAGTCGCGCGCTTTCTGTGAAATGTTGCGATGTGAATACTTGTGCGTGTAGGAGGGGGAGAGAATAATATTTTGCAACATCGGCTAGGGAAATGGCGAACATAATCAGTCCGGCGTTTTCCGGCGGAGACGGGTCGTGGCATTTGAAAGTCAAAGTTACCAATTTGGACTTGGACAAGGAGCTCCGCGTCCGCGGGGATTTGCACATTGGCGGCGTCATGTTGCGTCTCGTCGAAGAGCTGGGGATGAAGCGGGACTGGAGCGACTATGCTCTGTGGTGGCCCGAGAAGAACAAATGGCTGTTGCGGACCAAGTGGACGCTGGACCAGTATGGGGCCCACGCGGACTCGAAGCTGGAATTCACGCCGATGCACAAGCAATTGAGGATCCAGCTGCCGGATTTGCGTTACGTCGACTTGATGGTGGACGTCTCGGTCAAGGTGTTTCGTTCCGTGGCGATTTTGTGCAAGGATCTCGGGATCCGTCACCCCGAGGAGCTCAGTTTCCTGAAACCCCTGGAACCCGAAGACCTCAGGTAAAAAAAAATAAAATAATAATGGGAGTCAACACTTCACAGTAGTGGAATACAGTGGACCCTTGGTTGAGAAACTGATCATGAAAAAACTCTTTTGTTGTTGTTGGGAAAAATCCAAAATTTGAAAATTAAATTGATTTTGAGGCTGAAATTTATTGCGTAATCCAAGTTCAAGTAATTCACCTTTGAATAATTGAATAATTCACTATGCACTGATATGAAAATTATTTCCTCCTGGCCCTTGACTATGTGTAATCTTGTATTAGTTCTTGGACCTTGTCCTTTTGTTGGAGTGTTCATATGTCTGATCACATTTTTTCCATAAATTTCAATGGGAACATATTAAAGTGGCTCTAAATTGGGATTTTTCTTGAAAACCCAATGGAAGAAGAATTGTTTTAGGGAACTTTGTGGCTCTAAATCCTTAAAAATGCAATTAAGTCAGAGTTGCTCTGAGGGCTTTTTAGCACTAAATCCAGGGTTGACTGGGCATCCATTTTTTCCTGTCTGATTGAAATATTGTTACAAAAACATTTATTTAATTTTTATTTTTAAAGTATTACCTGTTCAATGACAATATCTATAAAAGTAGAATTTTCTACGTTATTAAAAAATAAAAAGAAAATCATCATTTTTTTCGTTTTTTCATCAACTAATTTGGATTGGCAGAAAAATTTGATAAATTTAGAATTTATTAATGTTATCATGGGAGAAACAAATTTTTTATTCATCGATCAATATTTTTGTTTCACACTATCCCTGGCGGGATTAGCTTATTCAAACTTTCAAAGTAAGCTTGACTGCTGACGAATATAAGTACAGTAATTGTATCTCAGACGCAAATACTTCTTCACATCCTGATTTTGCCTCAAAATTTATTCGGGAATGTATTTCACCAATTCCCCTGCAATTTATTTTTCAAGTAATTTTTTATTCATTTATTTTTATTTAATTTCTTTATAGCATTTAATTTTTCTACAGAATGTCTTCCTATGTAATATTTTTCCTAGGTTATTTTCTGGGGGTGACATTGACTTTCAGTGATATATATTTTTTATCTCCAGCATTTTTTGTTAAATTATTGAATTTTCGCAGAAATAACTCCGAGGTAAATGACATCTCTCAATTTTCGTGATGTGCCGAGTAATTTCGGTGAGATTAGAGTTAGATGGTTGTGATGACGGAATTTTGAAAATTATTCTTCCCCCTTCTTTTCTTTGAGGAAAATAAACATTGTCGTGGTCTTCCGCATACCCATTGTCTGTTTATTTTAATCCTTTGTAGGTCAAACTAAACATCGCCCAGTTGTGGTTTGCCCTTTTTTCCTCGGAATTCCTTCTCGTCAATTATGCCCTAAATCTTTAAGCTTTCGGATGAATTTTCTTTTTTTTAAATACTTCTGGCGACTCAAAGAATTCATCCCGACAATGTTCTCGAAATAGGAAATTCAGGCTTTTTTTTTCTTCCTGAAATAAGAGATAATTCCTATAAGCCTGATTTTTTTATGGACGAATCCACAACCAGCAGAATAGCGCATTTCTCACAGCAGATATGCAATGAACAAACTCGTTTATTCCTATTAGTATATGTAAAAATGCAGAAAAATCTTTACAAAACTATTTCATCGTTACGAATATTTCAGTAAAATTGCGTTATGATGAGATTTATTTATTATGGATGCGTGTGCGGAGATTTCATATGTTGTCCGAGACTTCGAAACAAAACTTTCTTATATGTAATTAAAATTCAGTTGTAACGGAATTTGATGTGTAGAAAAAGCGCGAAAAAAAATTGTTTCGTTGTTGAAAATTGAGTAATTTCGTATGCTGAGGTTTATTCATTATCATCATGTGTGGAGAGATTTGACCGAGTCCTTGGAAGAAAAATTTCTTACAGTGAAAAAATCCGTTAGAACGGAAGTATAAATTCAAAAAAAAAGCTCCAACAAATTAATTCGTTTTTAAAAATAGTGATAATGTACGACGTTGTGATGAGATTTATTTGTCATCATTTTGTGTTGTATGAAGATTTGACAGAGTCCTTGAAACAAAAATTTCTTACCGTGAAAAATTCGTTAGAACGGAAATATAAATTCAAAGAAAGCTCCAACAAATTAATTCGTTTTTCAAAATAGTGATAATGTACGTCGTTGTGTTGAGATTTATTTTTCATCATTGTGTGTTGTATGGAGATTCGACCAAGACGTTGAAACAAACAATTTTCACGGTGAATAATCCGTTATAACGGATTTTTTAAATCTTGGTGATTTATTTATTTTATTATAATTTTTAGGTATAACTTCAGCGACGATCCACGACGGAAGAAACTAGCCCAAGAAATCGCGTCCAACGGCAAAACGCCCGTCGTTTCCCCCGACACGAACGCCTACGTGCGAGAAAAGGCCCTGCTGAACCACTCGCAAAACGGACACGATCGGAACTACGAACGAAGCTATTCGCCGTTTGGCACGATGAACGCCAACGGCACTCTGCACAACAGTCGGTTCGACTCTTCCTTGAACCACATTGGCGGCATGAGCAACACGGGCTGGAGTTGCCCACTCGCCACAACCCCGGCCTCGTTGACGTCCGACGCCCGCAGGAACCTATTGCGACCCAAGTCCCTGGTGGAGAAGGCGAGGATCAACGTGTCCTGGCTGGACTCGTCGTTGTCGTTGAAGGAGCAGGGGATTCAGGAGTACGAGACCGTTTGGTTGCGCTGCAAGTTTTACAACTTCTACGACCTTAACCCCAAGTACGATCCGGTCAGGATCAATCAGGTGTACGAGCAAGCGAAAGCTGAATTGTTCGCCGAGCTAGTCGATTGCACTGAAGAGGAAATGCTAATGTTTGCTGCGTTGCAACATCAGGCGACTATCAAGAGCCGAGATCCGGCTGCTTTCGAAACAGACGAGGTGAAGATTATTTTTTTTTTAAAAGCTGTTCTCGCAAAATTGCTGGAGATGTCCAGGAAAGTCTAGACGACCAGTTGGTCCGCAGAATTTTTTTTTGCAAGTCCGTGGGAAATTTTCTTCAGCGTCTTACATTTGTCAAAGGTATTAAAGAAGTCTGAAAAGACAATGGCAGTTGAAATTATCTGGTGAAAAATGAAAAGTTGGCTTCTTTCTAATAACGCTTCATACTTATCCTCTTGTGCTGAAGTACACGATTTCAAATACTATACTTGAAACCCAGAAATCTGAATTTTTTTGAAGGCATTTAACTATAGCTGATTCATTGGTTCTTGGCTTGATTTTTGCAACACCAAAAAAGTCTTGATTGGAGGACTTTAGGGCAGGTATCTTAAAATTACTGCTGGTCTGCAAATATTTTATGGAACTTGTGTATTAACTTATGCTTGGTCTGGTTACTGAAAAATTGAAGTAGATTTTCTCGTTTTCACGGACAATTGATCGCATATTCAGGTTGGTCATTCGAAAGTTGATCAAATCAAATTGAGTTATTGCTTCAAGCGACACCTATGTGAACGCAGATGATCTCCGTCGAGGGACATGGAAGCGGAAATAAGTTCTTTTTGTCGTGAATTTTAATGCTTGTTTGTGGCATCTGGTAAATTGGTTTGTCATTCGAATTAATTTGAATTATCTTGACGCGTTTATCATTCTGAAAATTTTAACTTATCAAAATTTGGAGTTGATTAAATTATGAATATTGGCCAAAAGCAAGATCAAAGCTATTGAAACTACCTGCCAATTGCCCTGTTTATTTTTAACTGTTGAAGTATTTAAATTATTTTGTGTTGATTGGATACGGATGATGGTCTAGATACCGCGGAATATTATGTTCACGAATCTTATCCCAACTTTTGTCCAGTCCACCTTTGATGAAATACGGCGAGATACGTTTGAGATTTCTAAGTAATTACTGTACCAAGAAAAAGCTCGTGTTGAAGGGATAAATAACTGCAGCGTTGACTGTGATCCCAGGTTGATGGACAAACGAGATACGACGAAGACGAAATCGACCAGGCGCTGTCCGAGTTGCAGGCCACGTTGGAGGGCAGTACGTTGACGAGCACTCCGTTGGCGAATTCCGGCAAAGATATCACTTCCGTGCCGGAACTGGGCGACTTTTTGCGGTTCGCCAAGCCGAAGACTTTTGGCTTCAAGAGCTTCAAGAAGTATTGGGCCACGTGCCATGATCAACAGATCTATCTATACAAGAACAGGGAAGACGCCGGGCGTGACCCTGTGTATCATCTTCCGCTCAAAGGTGCGTTCGTGGATATACGAGGGTTCTAACAAAAGTTCTCGGAATGGCAATGAAAATGGCCTACAGTTGAGCTGAAACATTTTTTTTCTTTAGGGAAAACATATTCTTTGGCACAGAAAAAAATATCAGCCCTGTTTGACAATTTTTTTTGAATTTTTTCTTAATTCACCCTGGTAGAGTTTTGCTCTCCACTCAAAAGATGAGGCGCCCCTTTTTTTACTGTAGCCCAGCTTTCCCCTCAGAATTTTTGAAATCAACTTGGCATTCTTTCTAAGGGCTGCCTCCAGGTCATCCAAGGCAATTCCGCCATTTTCATCGTTAGCCGCCTTCACAGCCGCCAAGTGGCGGTCAATGTGGCGGCTGTGAAGGCGGCTGTTGATGAAAACTGTTGGCCATTTTCATTGCTACTCCGAGAACTTTTGTTAGAACCCTCGTATACACTCTTCATTACGTGTACGAACACGGGGAGGGGTTTCTCTCGAAAGTTTATACGAGTCGCCGAAATCCACCTTTTGAAAGCAAGTGAAACCTGGAAATCCATGTTTGAAGAATGATGTTTTATTTTATTTTCTACGATTTTTACAGTTGAACCTTTCAGAGTCGGAAATTTCCTCGACTTGCATTTTTTTTTTTTTAGTGGCAATATTTATGAGCCCTAATTTCCGTTATCTTACCAACTCAAAAAATTCTCTGTAATTTTCTTGTCTCTTCAAATTCGACGTGAAAAGATCCGATTATTGAAATTCGCGGCGCGATTTTTCCCAAAATAAACTTGAGAAACAGTCACATGTTTTGAAGTGAAGTACTGTATATTTCACAAACACGTGTTCTTTTGTTCATTTTGGTACATTTTCGTTGAACCGTTTGTCTCAAAAACATGAAAAAGGACGTAAGGTCTGCTTCACATCTTTCAAGTGTTCCTAATTACCTTTGACAGACAGTTGTTGATTGGGAATGATCGTGTTGGTGATCGAAGGTTTAAAAAAATCGAACCAATATCATTTAAAAGAAATATTGTGAGTTGGTGACGGAAGAAACCCGTTGAAGGAACGCGCTGAACACGTGATGAAGTATTCGCGAACAAGTGGACTGATGCAGTTTTTCTCGTGTGTAATGTATCACTTGATGAAAAAAATCTTTTCAAGATGTGAAGTTCAGGTGTGAATTATATTTGATTCTAATGGGAACTTTTGAGCCAATTTTTAACATGAAACTTTTTCAATAATGGAAATGCGGTACCTGTAGTTGAAAATTGGTTGAATTCAGGATCCTTTAATGTCGAAATTCAAGTTTGGGTGTTCTTTTTTTTTTTCAAATATTGCACTCTTGGAGTCACTGGAGTTGGGTGCAGGTCTTAATGGAGGACGCGTGGTACCCGAGTAAATACGATATTGCATTTCTAAGATCACTAAAAATGGGGTGTGAGTTTTACTCGGATGCAATTTTGTCAAAACTTTTTTTGCAAAAACCCCGGTGAGCATCTGATCTGACTCTAGGGCGCGTTGTTTCTTGAGTAGATACGGTATATATTTTTTAAATGAACAACTTTTTATTCTCGTTTGCAGGATGTGAAGTAGCGCCTGACGTGAACCTGAGCAGCGGCAAGTACGGAATAAAGGTGGAGGTGCCGTCGGAAGAAGGGATGACGGAGGTGCATTTTCGTTGCGACAACGAAGAGCAGTACGCCAAGTGGATGGCCGCCATTCGACTCGCCTCACGCGGGAAAACACTAGCGGACTCGTCGTATGCGGCCGAGAAGAAATCCATCCTCGCGTTTCTCTCCATGCAACACCCGGCCCCTGCCCCGACCACCAACTCTAGCGGGATGAATTCAGTGGTTGAGCTCAATCCAGAGGAATATGTGCCACAGGTGAGCAAGAAGAAAGAATGGCTGATTTTGTTTTGTTTTTTTATGCTGGCCTTGGTGTTTTTGGTGAGATGGAAAATTAATCAAGAGGACCCTTGTTTGAAGAACTACTTACGGGAAATTGGCCCAACGATTTTCCCGAGATTTTTTTTTTTTTAGCGCAAGGCGAAGGTTAAGATTAAATTGATGGTTTTCGTAAGGTTAACTACATGCAATAGCGTCTTTGGAGTCAGTTGTTTATTTTTTATTTTTTGTTCAACCCCCCCGTCCTTTTGGTAACCCCGAAATTATTATTTGATCTCTCAGGTGTCTTCGTTCGAGATGAGAACTGAGAAAATAAAGCCGTGTTCGACGCTCCAGTAAAGTGGTAGCTTTTGATGGGGGGGGGTTTTTTTTCGTCAGTGTGCTTGACCTATTTTCCAAGAATTGTCTTGACTCAAAAGTCCTCCATTTCGAAGCTTATCTGACATTGTCCAAAATTCTTCGTTCATTGCTACCTCAATTGATGCAGCTTGCCTTGATATTCTTATTCCTCGGGGCACCCGTAAAAATGTATCTTTTTTTTCTTTTAAAAACGATGTCAAATTCTGGTGAAATTCCAGATCTCATCACAAATCTTGTTTTTTTTTAACATTGAGCTACAGTATTATTTTTTCGTGTCTGACCGAGCTCTCGCTTGCCGTTAAAGGGATGCGGAAGATCTTGATTCTTCAGAAAATGGGTGAATGTGAATGCAGGATAAAATTGTCATTTCCTCGTATGATTTTAATCCATGTTCGTAATCAACTGGCATATTTTTACCAAAATTTCAAAGTTTGTGGTGCTTTCATTGAAAATCTTTGGATTTGATGGTTTGAGTGAAGTTTAATACTGCAGTGTTTTTTTTTCTCGAGGATTATTTTTTTCCTTTTATTCAACTAGTACTCATATTTGTTGAAAAAAAATGACTCGATGATAACAGTTTTCGTGAAATTTTGACTTTTGAGAGATTTTTAACGTTTTTTTTTTCGATACAACTATTATCGCTTTTATTCGAAGAGGACACACATCTGTTGAGAAAAAAAAGGCTCGACGTTTGATTTGGATTCGAATTTCATTCAAACTTGTGGGATTGCGTAATTCATTCATTATTCTTGAAAATGGTGGACAGGAAATCGGGTTTTCATTTCTCGAGTTTGTGTTTTTTTTGCAGAGATTTTTACGTCGGGCCAAGACGGGGAAGTTGGTGCAGAGGATCCTGGAAGCACACGCCAACGTGAAGGACCTGAGTTTATGCGAGGCGAAGATGAACTACATCCGAGCGTGGCAGAGCTTGCCTGACCACGGCGTCACGCTGTTTGTGGTCCGCTTCCGGGGCCCGCACGAGAAGAACAAGGACGAGCTGCTGGGCGTGGCGCCGAACCGCCTCATGCGAATGGACCTCAACTCGGGCCACCACATCAAAACGTGGCGCCTCAACACGATGAAGTCCTGGCGCGTCAACTGGGAAACGCAGGAATTGCACATTGAGTTCGACAACGAAACCGTCATTTTGTTTTGCAGCTCGGCCGCGTGTAAAGTCGTGCACGAGTTCATCGGCGGATACATCTTTTTGTCCATGCGCTCGAAAGACGTGTCGCAGAACTTGAACGAGGAAATGTTCCACAAGCTCACGTGCGGTTGGGTGTGAGCGGAACGTCCGGTATTGTGCTCTCTCGGGGACAGTTGACTCTTCGACGCATCCTTTTTATTTTTTCTGTAACACCCCCATTGATTTTTTTTTATCCCCATTGCTTATTCGTTAATTTCTCCCGTCGTTCTTGTAATTTTTTGTGGTCTATTTTAAAATGCTTGACCTAATCTTTCGATTGATACTTTTTTTTTCTTGTGGTGAATATTGTCGTAATTTTATCATGCGAACGTTTGTGCGAAGAGGTCGATGAACTCGAGAAAGAATGTGGCGAATTTGTCATGGACGTACTATTGGACCAGTTTTTTTTTTTTTTTTTTGCGTGTGCAGCGAAATCTCGTGTAACCGGATATTTGGGAGGTCTGACCGCAATCTAGTTTTCTGACGTGCTACTGGGGAAAATTTTCGTATCGGACGAATTCCTCGGAAACCCAGTTCGATGTGAGAAATTCCTGAGGACTGTACGATATTAGTTGTCTTTTTTTGGGACCAAGAAATGCGCCAGCGAACTTACTGCAGAAAATTCCATCACCAAAGAATTGGGGTGTGAATTTTATCGAAAATGATGATGCTGCAATTATTATTTGTTGCTTTTAAAAAATATTGAGAATTATGTGAAAACATGTTACATTCATGTCCAAAATTTGAAGAGATTCATCAATTCGCCAATTCTTGGAAAAAGTCCTAAGTATTTCCGCGGTGTTCGCAGGGTTTCTGTCGAATTTGAAAAAAATTTTTTTGGCTTCCACCAATGCGAAGCATTTGAATAATTATCCCTTTAATTTTATATCAATAGAAAGTTCATGGATATTTGAGGCGGTGGCTTGAAAAAGTTTTGCTAGTTGACAGGAATGAGTGAAGTTTATAGGAGACCGTCATTGGTTTTGTGAATTCTCAATTTTTCAATTGTTGAAGCACCAGTTGACTAAAATTACTGCGAAGGAAATCTAGGAAAGTTCATTTTTTTTTTAATGAAAAATGTTGGGCTCCTTTAAGCAGTGGATCCTCCAGCAGAAAAATTTGTCTTGAATAAGCGAGAATTATGTTGAAAAATATTTTGTTTGCGTAAGATTATTACCACAGTACAGTACTGTTTAAAAGAAAGTTAGGCTTAAAAGAAGGTTCCTCCACTTCTAGGATTTTTTTTACATTAATTTTTAATCACCATGCATTGATTAATGGAATTTCACTCGAAAAATATGATTTGCGTTTTACAATGCTAAATGTTCTTGCGGTGCAGAGTTTTTATCACGATAGAAAAATGAATAAATCATCCGTCTTTTTGTCTTCGAGAAAAACGTGCGCTAGAAATCGTTCAAGATTCGGAAATTCGCGTAAAGATTCAGATTTCGTCGAGTCTCTCTCTTATTTTTAACGAGATTTTGCTGCAACGCGAAGAAAAGTGAGTTGCAAAAAGAAATTTTTTTTTTTTTGGATCTGTGTGTTGTGACTTGCGTGATGACATTGTCCCTGACAGAGCAGAATATGAGTGGGAGAGGGACGTTTCGTCGGGGGTTGTGACACGGATCGTTTGCTTCCCTCTCTAACAAACTGGGCCAAAATTCGACTAACGTTTGTTTTGCCGCGGATGTTGACACTGGGAACCTCGTCGGGTCACTTGCGGGGACGGGGAGAAGGAGGGCGAAAGAGATGGAGAGAAAAGAGAGGTCGGGAAGTCAGCCAGATGTTCGTGTTTACTTTTCGGGAGGGCTCCCGTAGTCTTTTGTCAGCGCTCGTTAACTTCATGGGCTTTCATGAGCTTCGAGGTATTTGAAACGAAAATGTCGTCCAAGGTTCATTAACGGAGAAAAAAAAAAGGAAACACGATGAGAAGGACACACGTTAACGGAGAAAGCGGAGCATGGTATGAATTAATTTATTGACACTTGTCCGGCGAAAGATGTCGGGCTTAGATCTGCTTCGTTTTTACTCGTATTTTTACCACCTTACTCCCCTGCTTTTTTTTTTGTTGCGTGCGAGTGCGTTTCAATACGACAAGTATTTTATGAAGCTCTCGCTTGAAGGACCCTCGCTTCCCGAAGGAGAATGATTCCTTTTTTGATTTTTTCCTACTGCGAATATTGGTCCTTGGGATCACCAGAAGAAAAAGATTTGATGCTGTTCCAGTGCAAAAAAACTTGATTCTGGTATGCAATTTACCCCAATTATGAGTGATCTACTGTGACTAAAAGTTCTACCGTCGTGTGTGGGATGTACCACTTCATCACGGGTCTTTTTTTTCTGCCTATGGCACATCAAAATTTTAGAGCATTTTTTGAGGGAAGGATACTCAGAATAGGAAGAAAAAAGTCTGGGAATGTTCTGGTTGTGATCTACCACCTCAAAACAGATGCAGATTTTTTGTTACACTGACGAAAGATGCCTGGACATGTCTTGATAAGTTATTCAACACTTTAGGACTTGTCCAGCTTTTATTTAAGATTTTTGGAGTAGGAAGAGGAAGACTTATGCTTGGTAAAATTTGCATCATCTCTCTCTTTATCTTCCTTTGTGGAGGGTGAGGATGCTGAACTTGGGAAGCAATATTGAATGATGGAAGAACATCCTTGCAGAAGCAAGACTGGTGGCGACATCTTCTATTACAGGATTGCATTGTACCCCTGTTTTAGAGATTTAGACTTGCTAGCATCCTCCTGTTACCTTCTGTTGCATCATTTGGTTGAGTGCTGTCTTTGCAGGGCATTCAATAGATTCAGGACTCAATTATCAATTACTGAAATGCCCTAAATATGACCTGCAGACACATTTCCTTATTTACTCAAGTACCACATGTATGTATTTTTTCAATGTTGAGAGAAAACAGGCAGGTTGTTCATCAAGTCTAAGATGTTTCAAAATTTTGGAAGTTCAAATGCTGACAAACAAAATTCTAGTGGCCAATTTGGAAATGAATTTTAAGGGAAGCAATTGAAATCACGTTCAAGTCAAGTAAAAATTTAACTTCTGATGTGTTCAATTTTTAAAATATTGTAATTTTTGTCACAAAATGAGGGGAGTTTGTCTTAGGTTCTCATTTAAATTTCAGGCTGAAATGTGCACATCTTACTCAACAACATGTGGTACTTGAGGGAATATTGTAGTTATTGTGAAATATCATATGCAGTCTTTAAGGCTTCATTTTATTTTCTTAATGAATATTTTGCTGTAGATGCTTGTACCAGCTGATTCATCTTCAGTGACAAAATATTGAGTGTCCCACCTTATTTTATTAAACATTCTGCATACCATGATGCAGTTACCGTACCTTCTGGTGTACCAGTGGTTGGAAACCCCTTCTTATGCCAACATTAATACTGTAATCAACCGACCATTTAGAATATCTGATGTACCATTGTACAATTCCTTGTCAGAGCATAATTTTTTATGGAATAGAACACATGATCACTGGTAAATTGCATACCAGAACAGCAAAGACAAAATTTGATGAAGGGGTGGACTCCTTTTTTTCTCAAATTCCATATGCAGGTTCTAGCTTATATAGCAGCTTGAAAATGTTTTCTGTCTTTGAATGCAAATGCTTCATTTGTGAGAAATGCGAAGTGACTTCAAGCATTTGTTGGATTGGAAATATTTATGTCATTATGAAACTTTCGGGACCTTCCCTTTGTATTTGTCAATTTTTTTTGGGGGGGATCCTGGTTACCTTTTGAGTGTGACCTGGTGACAGGAAGCTCTTCCTAGTCCTTCAAATATAGTTCACTAGAAACTAGTGCTCTTCCCTTTGCATGGGATTTTTTTGTTTTTGCAAGTGCCAATACATGCGGACGACGGTTTCGCAGACAAAAAAAAGTGCTGACCCTGGTTAACTAATTGCCTTGATGCTGCGGCACAAAGTGGAGATGATGACATGTGTTTCTTTTTGAAAAGGAAATTTTTCGAGAACGACCAATCCTTGGAACATAGCCTTGAAAAAGGTATAATCGTCCTCTGTTTTTTAATTGTTTGAGGAACGCGTTAACTTTTTGGGGATATAAGAGTATAATTCGGAAGAATTAAAATCGTATATTATTAAAAACAATTCATGTGTCTAATTATTTTTTTCAAGTGTGATCGAGGAAACGGTGAATTTTTTTGTTGATTCGCAGAACAGCTTATTTTTGTGCCAATAAGTTGAAAGGAGTCTGGTTATTGTGACCATGTAGCAACTACATCTTCTAGTTGTTCAATTGGCTATATTGTGTGAAAATTTCTAAAATCCATGCAGTATATAGATCATGTATTCTGAGAAGCTTGTTTTGAAAGTTTGTTAGAAACATACAAGTTTGAAATATGAGAAATTTGTTGTGCTGTTTTGGGCACATTTTGAAAAAATTACATTAGGTACAGTGCTAATAAATGCTGTGTAACACTTCAGGGTAGTCTTGTAAAAATGAATTTCATTATGAAAAATTTTAGCTTTTTTTGTCCTTGTACTCAATAGCCATAATGTTACAGTATTTTGATATCATTTTCAAATTCTGTATTTAATATAAAATAGCTTTTCAAGGTCTCAAAAGTGCTTCGTAGTAACAAGATTATGTACTGTGTACAACTTTGTGAAAACTTCTTGTGCATTATAAGAATTCTCTTTTTTTTTACTTTCAAAATCTACAACTTGGGAAGTCAAGACACATTGGAACAACGCAGGCAACTGACAACATTTTGAGATGCTGTGCGAAGAAAAATTTCTTTTCCTGGCTTTGAGTCAAAATTTTATCTCATACAACTTGTTTCACTTCGCGAAAGCAGTGAGTTTTAATTCTAAAGCAAATATTCTGACCACAACTGCGGGTTGTACAGTATCAACAACGGTGGTTTCCTGTGCCACCTGAAATGGTGCTTAGCTGGTACTTCAACCAGTTCACATGTCACAACTTCAGTCCTTGGGGTTCTGTGTTAAATATGTTTGTCCCTGTGAAATGTCTGCCTTCGTTATAAACCTCGGCGAGTCCCTCACGCGAGCAGTTGCCGCTTCAGTTAAGGAGATGTCTGTCTCAGCAGATGTGAGATGAAATTCTTCATCATTTTTTGCAGGTGTGCCTACGAAGAACAAGTCGGAATGATGCTTTTGTTATTTCGGAGGTTTTAAATGTGTTGGTTTTCGTGAGTGTCCGAGATGGCCGAAAAGTTCACGCTTGGAGATCGCGTGACAGTTGTTGGGAAAGACCTGCGTGGGCAAGTAGGTTTCATAGGCGAAACCGACTTCTCTCCTGGAAAGTGGTACGGATTAATTTTGGATGAACCGAAAGGGAAAAATAATGGAACGGTCCAGGGTCGAGCTTATTTTGAGGTACGCGTTAATTCAAATAGCAAATTCCAGTGATGGTAACTGGTTTCCTCACTCCTCATCAGTGCGAAGAAAATCATGGCCTCTTCATACGGGAATCGCAGCTACAAGCAGAAAATACAACACTTGCACCCCCCAAGACAACGAGCAAGTTGGTTTCCCCGAGGTCATCCTTGAGAATGGCTACCCCGAGAAGCAGCAAGTCAGTTTACTTTTGAAAAGCTGCATTTGAATCTTTTATAAATCTGAGTGTTCGTTCGTCAGATTACCGGGATTAACAGCGAAAACGACGTCGAGAATTCCATCTGCTCCCAGTGGGTTGTCATCCATGGGAAGCACGACGAAGAGAACGTCAAGGGAAATGCCGTCGCCGAGACTTGGAACTGCGAGGAAGTCTCGTTATGGAACCGGCGGGACATTGGCTGAAGTACGTGAAAGTTAGGGTCACACTTCACGGACTAGGTTCAATTTTTATGTAATGTTTCCCGACAGAGTTCTTCCGCTGAATCCCTGGGCGCGGTTTCAATTCGTTCCGAAAGCAGCGAAACTGCCAAGTCCATCACTAAAATAGAAGAATTGGAGGAGAAGGCCTCTACATTATCTACTCAGAGTTCTATCCTACAAACCTTATCAGAAGAGAATCGCAGCTTGAAAATGACCGTCGAAGACTTGGAAGCACAATTGAATATCATGAAAGGTATTCCGTGTTTTTACAAGCTGAAGAAGTGTTTCTTCAGTCATACAACCGTCATGATTTTCGATTTCAGAACGTCGTTTGGCTGACAAAGAAAAACTGAAGGAGCTTGAAGTTGCTAAAATTCAGAACGAGCAACTGCAGGAATTCAAAGCCAAGATTTTGGAACAGCATGTGAGTGGACTAGAAAAAATCACACTGTTACGTGATTTTGAGCCATATCATTGTATTTTGCAGGCACAAGTGCGACAAGAATTGCAGAAAGCCCAAAGTATTGCCAAAGATGCAGTGGAAGCCAAAGAAAGCATGGAAAGTGATGCAGAACTCGTAGAGCTGAGAGACAACTTGGAAATGGCGTATTTGGACAAGGAAATGGCTGAAGAGAAAGTTAGTGACTCAAACCTTTTCCAGAAATTTTATTTCTTTCGATGTATTTTTTGTGGATATTAAGTTGAAATCTCTTGAAAAATTATCAGCTACGATAGCATGTGATTGAAAATATACGTTAAAGGATCTGGTTTGTCGAAGGTTCTTCAAAGTTAGAAATTGGTTATTCTTCTAAACTTCTAAAGCATTTTTCATATTTTGTATATAACAATTAGAAATAATTTTTGTGTTGTTAAATCTTTTGGCGGTCACGAAAGCATTTGTACCTCGCATGAAATCATGCATGGACTTCCATTTGCTTTCAAGTTTGACGGTTGTTCGTACCTCTATGGCTGATATAACTAATCGGATTTTTTGGCATATTCTTGAGGAATATCCGATCTTTTTTAGTTATTTTTCATGCTTCTGAACCTTTCTTATTTCTTTCGTTTTCCTTTAATGTTAGATCTTGTGGATTTACTGCATTTACCGCACTTGTTAAAACTATCTCCCTTGCCGAAGTTCATTCATTTTTTATATGCAAAGCTGTATTTTTATTTTGTAAGTCTTCCGATTTTCGCTGAATGTAGTCATGAGCCTTCTTACTTCATGTGGTAAAGAAATTCTAAATTTCATGACCTCCTTTTTGGATTGTGTGTAGATTGAAGAGCTTCAAACGGAACTGGATCGTGTTCGCGATGAAGCCGAAGCTCTGAGAACGGAACTGGAAATCCTCAAGGCAGAACGTGAAACTGAAGGCCTGGAAGAAACTGAAGATGTGCCCACTTCGTCTGTGGCGAATAAAGCTTTGGAAGATCAAAACGTTCGACTTCGTGAAGCCCTCGTCGGGATGCGTGACCTCTCAGCTCAAGAACGTCACAAGACGCTGAAGTTGGAAAGGATTTGCGAGGATCAGCGGAAAGAAATCGATGACATGACTGCTCTCAAAGACAAGCTAGAAGCTAATGTGGAAGAAGTCAATAAGCAATTGCTTGAGGCTTTAGATCAGGTACTTTCGTTTGCATTTGCCGTATTTCCTCGAAAATGTGTCGTAATCGTAAAATTGTTCCTGGTCAATTTCATGAATTGAGTGCGAATTTTTTTCAAACAAAGTTGAATGTTTATTTAGGACATAAAATATTGAGGCAATCTCGGTCTAGTGGACTCGAAAAACTTGAATATTTATGTCGGTAATTACAAAAATAAATTGATCATTGAATGTGGCAAAGGAATGTTAACAAATGTGAAAAAACCACGTATCATCCCAGCTACCGGAAGTGTTCGGAACTTCAGAGAGTGGAGGAATAATTTCTGGTCTTTCTTGCAAATTTCAGTTTGATTCATTCGCTAATAATCTGAAAGCGACAAAAGAGATGACAGTGTTTTCCTTACGATGCCATCAATTTTTCTGTCCTTTTTATTTGTATGCTGTTATTCTTATTTCACTTGTTCAACTTTTCGAAAATCATTCGAGGTTTGTGTCTTCATTTAGCCTCTCAGCGTTCATGCTTTTCGAAACTTGAAAATTTGTCCGAATTTACGTATACAATATTGAGGATTCAGATGTGTCCCGAACGTAAATTTTATGAGTGATTCTATACGATGCGTGTCGAGTGCCCTTTTGGAAAAATGAGTTTCATCACGATTTTTCAAAAAATATTTCAGATGAGTGCGTACATGGGCTCGGAAAAAATAATCGACAACCTTACCACGAAAGTCCTGGGACTGGAAGAAGAGCTTGAGGAAACTAGAGAAAAGCTACTCGAACTCGAACGAGACTCAGCCATAACGCAAGAACTGGTTGAAGCACAATCAGAAGCAGAAAAGGAATTCCGGGATGAAATCGCTACTTTGCAAACTACAATCGCGAAGGTGCGTCCCTGCAAAACATACTCTCAATTATATTTTATTAATTTTGGATCAATTCGTGAATAGATGAAACGAGTTCAGGACGAAATGAAGAACTTGATTGCCGATCGAGATAGCACCATATTGAAGTTCCGGGATTTGGTGTCCCAACTGCACGAGAAGATCGAACAAATTTCTCGCGATAACGCGGATAAGGATAGAGAAATTGAGGAATCAACAGCAACTATTCAAGCTATGCGAAGTATGGGGGCGTCTGCGGAATCCGTCGAGTACAAGGTGTGTTTTCAATCTTGACGAAGAAATGTTTCTGTACTACGCAGCAGCGTTTTCGAATCACTACTGTGTGGTGCAAAATTCTTAATCCTTGTGATGAACTATTTCATTTTGTCGATAACGTTGAAGAATCATTTTAGTTTGGGTAGATGCCACCGTTAGTTTCCTATTCAGTCATCCGAATAATGATTTGTCTCTGGGTTCCCACTGTGTGAGCATGAACATTTGTCCAATTCGCATATTCTATTGACTGTGTTCTGGGGTGATTGAAATTAGTTTTTCACTTGAAATGAATGCGTCCGTCCTGGGGTTTTGTCCAAAGTGCGAACTTCCGAAAAACCAGTCCTATTTCAAAAAAGAAAAGGAGCGTCGATAGAAATTTTTATTAAAGATCATTGTCAGCTCATGCATACGAGGGAAATTCTTTAGATCTGAAACGATACGATTACAATTCTATAATATGGTACGATTTCTATCTCATCAGCCGAAGTAAGATTAAAAACAATTACTGTACTGTATTACCCGTGTGTGGATTTTGGGACGTGATGGACTTTACGTGGTTTTTGTCCGGTAAAATTATGACTGATTCTTGTAATTTATATTTTTCATAATTTAAAGAACGTTTTCGGAGGGAGTTGCGATTAAATTGTTTTGCGTAGCATGTCTGTTCGTCGGTGAGAACCAAATATCGTTGTCGGGAAAAAAAGCTAATGGAATTGTCTTACGTCATGTCCCTCAACAGATGAAACTTGAACAGAGTCGTGGAAAGAAAGGAGCCTTCGAGATAGAAATGAGGATCCTCGAAGCGGACTTGGCCGGGAAACACGTTTATTACTTGTCGAAATTTGTGCCTGCGAACTTCATGCAACGCGGTGGTGATCACGATGCAATTTTGCTACTGCTGCTGATTCCACGACTGATGAGGAAATGCGAAATGCTGCACGCGAGTGCCAAGCAGAATTTCTTCATGAGTCCCGAGAGCTTTTCTGACGTGCTGAATTCGGCCCAGGCTCTGTTGAAGGAGCCAGCCGTGGATCGAGCTTCGTTTGGTCACAGGCTCTCTCGTCTTGTACTCGGGATCACTGTACGATTTTTGGTCTTATATTTCTTTCGTCATAGCTTGAGGGAAAACATTTTCAGCTTGAATAATAGTACAGTATGTGAATTTTTTCTAGATGATTCTTGCAACTGCTGATATTCTCTTAATCCCTCGTAGTATTAATTTTAGATCATCTTTCCGATCACTGGCACGCCCGACCTCACATTCAGGAATGTCGGGTAGATGTCGCATGAATCGTGACATAACCAGAGATTATCATACAATATTGTACTGTACTAGAATTGAAAACTATTTCAACGTAATTTGACCTTGAATAAACTAGCACAGATGACAAGTTATCTTGGCATAACTTTTCTGCCGAAGCAAAGAAAACGAGACGTTTTGGCACGCAATAGGAAATAAATATGTTTACGTATTTTCGTGTTTTTGCAGGGAATTCTTCGTCAATGCAGTATCGCCATGGATCACTGCAGCGTTGATGCGTTTGTTCGTTTGGCCGCTTTCTATCCCGAATTTTCCGTCCAAGAAAAAACTATCGACGTGTTCGTGGAGCTTCTGAGGCGTGACCAGGTATATTGAAATGATGTACAACATTACCTGCGAAAATTCGAGAGATAGAAAAAACGAGGGCCATCGAACTAGACATTTTTTCGGGGTTTATGATTTTAAAATATTCCTGAAGTTTATTCATAGGAATTAATGTTTTCTTCTTCGCACATTTCCGTGGGAGCGTTTTCAGATTTCTGCGCTGAGTGCAGTCTTTCGCGAATTGAATATAAGCTAGTTATGATCGGATATACTGTATCACACTTATCATTGGGACGTTTACATTTGGAGAAGAACACGCCTTAAAATTTTCCAACGATCGAAAAATATATTACTTCGGACAACCATCAGCTTCAGATCTTCCGTGTTTATTTCACGACGTGTGAAAGTCCTTTATTACTGAAAAATGTAATGAAGTTATTTATAAAACGGAAAGCGTTACTTTGGACGTATATTTTTTTAATCGCCCCTTTTTTTCCCCGTCATTCCGTTTTTGAACGACCTCAAACCTCGCTTTTACTTTTCTTGAACAGCCAGTGTCACTCTCAAATTGGATTTTGGAAGCATTTTATTCTTTTTTTTGTATTTAAGTGATTTATATGTGCATAACAGTATTTTTTTAAATGTTATTGGTGGATTTTGATTGTATAAATCTGAGAACTCGATTGATTTTCAATTGATTACACATGGTTCATCTTGCTTGTATAGCTTGACGAAAATGTCCCTCTGGAAGGAGCCGAACGAGCGTTCATTCAGCTATGTCAGTTGTTACACGGAAGCCTGACTGAAGTGATCAATACTGGTCGCGAGAAGCCTCTGAGAAAACGTGACGATATCTACAGCTGGCTCACGGACAGTCTTTGGCTCCAGGATTCCGCCAGAACGTTCCAATCAGCAGTTGAAGCCATTTTGATGGAAGTGAGCCGTATCAAGTGCTTGATGCTCTCGGGCTCGGAGACGACAGAAATGGGACTGTTCCTGAAAGAAATCCACGGCGACGCGGAGGAAACGCGGAATGCGCTGCGAAAAATCGCGAGATTCCTGCCTGCGGACGGGGAATCCAAAGACGTCGTTGCCTTGGACAAAGGAGTGCGCGAAATCATTAAATCCAGCCACGGGCGTGTCGATCTTCTAGTCTTGGGTAAGAACGAGGAAACGAGAAGCACGTCGAAAGAAATATGATTCTGTGATCGAGTTCCTACCGATCAATAATTCCTTCCCGTGGCGCGCTCGCCACCAACTGGATGCTGCAGACTTTCATCCTTGGTTTTTCGGGGACATCAAAATATCAAATTCTGAATTATTTTCGTAAGAACTGTAATTTATTGGACATTTTCACAGAAAGAAACTTATTAAATCGAAAGTAGCCTATCCTAACTGAAATCAACTAATTTTTAATAATTTCATCATTTTACAGTATTTAAGAATTAAACTTCTCATTTTAAGGTGCTTGGATGTCCCCTAAACCCAAGAATGAAAGGTCCCCGGGAGCGTAGATAGCGCGTGGGGTAGAACTGGTTCCCGGTAGGACTTCGCGCACATTTTGAAGAAATGAATTCCCAAAAAATGAATATTTCCGATTTCTTTTTTTTTTTTTAGCTTTTCAGGATATTTCCAAGGCCTGTGTGCGGCAGATATTATCTTCCGGGGGAGCGGATCCGTCGTCTCTAGGATTGACTAGTGAGAAGGTGAAGGAACTTGCGTTTGTGGCTGTGGAAAACGCGAGTCACAAGTCCTTGGTGAGGTTCCTCAACTCTGAAGACTCGGATGCTTCCTTTGTTGGGCCCCTGGTGATGCTGAAGAAGTTTATGAGTGGCGTCCGCGTCAATGCGACTGACATCGCCACGGTTTGTGACTATAAAAATTCGAATATGTGATGATGTCTCATTGTCTCGGTTAATGGACCCCCACCTGTAAGAGTGAGAAATCTGTTCTGCTGAAATGATCTGAACGTGGTATTTGAACCTCTTCAAGTCGAATTCCAACGGACCAGCAAAATAAAATCGACTTGTGGTTTCAAGTTGGGGGAAACTACTGCCGTATTTTTGCCTTGGAAAACAATTGAAGGAATTTATATTTAGTGATTTGTTTTGGCCAAAAATTGCCTTCTGAAGAAGGTTCATTAGCCCGAATCATTCTTCACTTCCTTTAGGAAAGCATCTAGTTACGATATTATTGCTTCTCTTTTTTTCCCATGGCTCAGAAAATAGCCAAAATGCCTCCAAAAATTATGAAGGTCTGTGGGAAAAGCTTTTGAGTTACCGAGGTTTTGATTGCATTCTTTTTGAGGTAATTGATACTGTGATTTGAAAAATAATTATACATAGGGAGATATTCGACTTGAGAGGTTCTTGTCATTGTTGAACTATATTTCAAATCATCCGAAATGTCTAATTCGCACCGGAACCCTCATACATTTCTTGCGTACCTTTTTGATTTAATTACTGTAATGAGGAATTTAATTCTCAAATTGAAATATCAGCGAAACTCTCGGAACCAAGGGAAAAATCAGGTGAATTCGATCAAGAATATACGAAAATGATAGTGATTTATCTACAGTATTTGCAGAATAATTATGCGATACTGCAATCGGTGGTGGCCCCAGTTTCTTGCGCATTGAATATCCTTCGTTCAATGCGTCCATTAATCCATAGTTCAACGAATCAGTACTGATGTTATACTCATGCTATAAAAATCTCCTCGATATCCCTCAGAATTTGGCTCAAGGAAAGTACGACATGAGCTTGAAGCCGGACGAATCAGCGACTGACTGGAAAAACGTAACTTCTCCGTTGGAATTGAGAGCTGTGATGATCAAAGAGGAGATGAAAGACGCTGAAAATCTACGCACCAAGCTCGAAATGCGCGACCAAGACATCAAAGATCTGAAGAAATTGCTGAAACAAAAGCAGGAAGAGGTCAGTATATGGAAACCTTTTATCTTTGTTTTCTCTGATTTGCTTCCCGAAATCAGACACTCCTTCTGAAGCCGTATATGTATTGTGATCGGGTGTCGAAAATTTAATTTAAACGAATAATTGAAAACTCTACTCTCTGTGCTCTTTACCAGCTTCTATTTTTGCGAGAAAAATATCTGGATTTCATACAGTAAAATTAATAGAATGTTTCAGACACTATTGATGTTACACTGCTCGTTTTAATTGAGTGCTTTCTATTTTATACCCACTTCTGTGTACGTGAAATAAATTTTGCGAGCAATTTTTCGTGAACAGCATTTACGAGTAGACCATCCTTGATTTCAGAGAAACGCGTCATCGCGATTTTTTCGAAAATCTTGACGTTTTATTTATATCTATTGAATTTTATTGTTTTAATGTTTTATTACAATTTATTATTATTGTCGTTTATATGAATGAAACAAACTAACGATGTCCTGACGTGCAGATGAGCGAATTGGCGATTCGTCGCGACATGGCAGAGAAGAAGCTGCTTTTGGTTTCCCAAGAAAAGCAGTTGAGTGAAGAACGCTGGACAAGACGGTTGGAAGATGCTCAAGCACTCATCGCGAAAAAGGAGAAAGAGTGCGCGGAGATTGTGGATCAATTGCAAAAAGACGTGGACACTTCGGAGAATGAGAAGCAGCAGCTCAAGGCCCGACTCCTCGCTGTCAATAAGTTCCAAGCTCTTGAAGGCGAGTCTATTCTTTTCTTCGTTAGAAATTTTGAAGCTGGTTGACACTTCAAAAGAAGTTCAAAGTTTCAACTTTTAGCGTCGGCCTTTCTTTTACTAACGCTTTGAGAAAATCAAAGTTCAAAGCTGAGCATTGAGAGAATCGATGTTTTACGCATTTGAACGTGGAAGTTCTCTTCCTTGTTTTCTCCTACTGGCATTTATTTTTGAATATTTCATAAATGAAAAAGCGTTGGATGAAATGAGCTCTTGTGAATGAAGATCAGTGTTGATGTGAGCTGACTGATATAAATATTGTTTAAATAAATACAGTTGAACCTTGATAACTCGATCTTCCCTTAGTTGGATTCTTCTCAAGTCTTCGTCTGAATTCCCCTAGAAACAACACATTAAAAACGTCCTTCACTCGAAGGCTTTCTTCCTGAAACACCCGTAGTTCAAATTTTCTGGAGGCCTTTTTGGCAATTCTTTCATGGACACAGGAAAAAAATGAAGAAGAAAAATGTTCATGATGCATTTTGAAAAAAGTGAAAGAGGAATTGGGCAATTAAACCCTTGCCTTCAACTTTAGCACCCTGTCAACTCATTCAGAAAGCGATTTGAATCCCAGAATATCATCGATTACAATTAAGTGTAATTCTTTATTTTTTTTTACCCCAAAGAATGCTCGTTTCCCTGATTCAAAATCTTCCAAACTCAATTTTTTTGATTCCCTTGAAGTCTGACTCAAAGAGGTTTGACTGTATTCATTTACAGTGAGACCCCCAGATGCGGACACAATTGGTGCATCAGGAGTGTCCCTATGTTGAATTGTCCCTAAGTCAAGTCTTGTTTTCCCATAGACTTACATTATATAATTTTAATTGGTGTTTTATGGAAGAAATATTCTTCTACTTCAAGGGAATCAAAAAAATTGAGTTTGGAAGATTTTGAATCAGGGAAACGAGCATTCATTGGGGTAAAAAAAAATAAAGAATTACACTTAATTGTAATCGATGATATTCTGGGATTCAAATCGCTTTCTGAATGAGTTGACAGGGTGCGAAAGTTGAAGGCAAGGGTTTAATTGCCCAATTCCTCTTTCACTTAGACTTACATTATATAATTTTAATTGGTGTTTTATGGAAGAAATATTCTTCAGAATTCCATGAAAAAAAAATTTTGCCGCTTGAATTTGATTCAGTGAATATATTTTCAGCCCTGTAAGAACATTTGGAACATTGAATAATATACTCCTGTACAGTTCATTGAAATGTTGGAATCTGTAAAAATAACATCAAAGTCACAAAGAGAGAAGGAAATCCCTCTGTGTTATAGGTTTTCTTTTGATTAGCTGAATGGATGGGAGAGTGATGGGAAAAGTACCAAAGCATTTTTCTTGCATAGTTTTTCAGGTGGGAAATATATTTTTCTTGCAATTAAGCTGAATAAAAATCAATTTTCCTTGAAAAATGTGGCAATTTTATCCTTCAATGTCCTCATCTCGAGTCAGTGTCCGTATATTGGGCCTTTTTTAAGATGTGGGGGTCTCACTGTATTTATTTATATACCAGCGGAAGCAAGCAGTCCTGTTTGTTCTAAAAAATTTCAACGAATTAAATTCGTGGTTCCAGGGCTGGGAAAAATTGGAACTCCGGGAAGTCCGACGAGTTCTGTGCCGCCCATGTCACTGCCGGCGATGGCGTCCACGGCTCTGACTGCAGGAATGAGTCCACTGGCGGCGATGATGTCACAGAGCCCAGGTCGTGGATCCATGGGCGGCGTTCACGGAGAACAAATCCGCGTGTTGGAAGAAGAGCGAGACGCTTTGCGTCGTCTCGTGCGAGTTTTGGAAGAGAAGAATGCGTCCATGGTGGTGGACGACATGAAGAACAAGATGCTCAGTTTGAAGCCGCTTGTGGTGCCGAAAAAGCGCGGGTCTGGTGGTGAGTTTCTCCCATTTTTTAATTTGTCTTGTATCTTTGGACCAAAAAGAAGAAAAAAAAGACGCTGGATTTAATTTGGGAAATGTGTCGATGACTGTTTTTCAGGTCCGGAAGATCGACTCGATGAACTTCAGAAGCAGACGCATCGTCTCCTCGACCGTATTTTCAAGGTGAGGATCTGTAGCTTTTTATTCCATCAAATTTCCCGTGAATCACTAGTCCTACGAAGGAGAAACGAAAGAAAGCGAAGATCTGTTAATTTTCATTGATTTCTAGCTCAAATATTTCTTGAGCCTGACGACTTTTAGATGTGTCTGTGATTATCGTAAATTGTGAATCGAATGTAAGTGTTTTTGTGTGAGATTCTGTGCTGGTGAATTTCCACTTCATCAAATTCCAGTTGATCAGGCTTTTAAATGTTGATTATTTTTACGTGGTCTTGACAAAATGACAATGCTACTCAACAATTTAAGTCGAAAAAAGTTCTAGGTACTGTATAAAAATTTACAAAATCGTGAGAAATCTGTTAGAATTCAAGTTTGTTCTGACTTGGGAGGTGGAACTAGGCGGAAGTGCAGTTTTGTGCTTGTTTTTACTGTCTTTTTTGGTTCATTTTTCTGCGCAGAAAATTCTCCGAATTCACGCAGGTCCATTTGAAGAATAATGACTGACTGAAATAAGTGTCAGAAGTAACCCAGTTTCATTTGTCATCAATATTTTCTTAAGATAGCGATGTTCGTTGCTTTTTGTCAATCAATTTCTACTAATGGAAAATATAGTTGAGCTCATCTGTCGAGTTTGAGGGGGCTCTTGCAAAAAATTGACTGGAGGAAGTCTCGAGTTCGCGAATATGTCCTGATGTGTTCGTGGGTTAAAAAGTTGAAATTATTTTTGGCAAATTTATTGAAAGGTTTCTTTATTCTTAGATGTCCTATCTGAAGAAAGTTGCTGAATTTCTTGAGGAAAGCATTGCATTAAAAATATTCTCATAATCCTGATGAGGTGTTCTAAAATTTAGCCCGAGCTCAATATTTCGAGGGCGGTGGAAAAATCAACTGAGGCAGGCGATAGCCAAAACATCTTGAGCTGGGAAGGAATAAAATGCATTGTTCGTGAGGGGGATTGGGATTGTGAAAACGGAAAAAAATTTAAAGTTATCCGCATCAATAACATTATTCCGCGGAAAGCTTGAAGTCATGAACCAGAAGAACTGAAAGTTTAAATTTAAATTTTCCGTTTACGACGGAAGGGCTGAAAATGTTTCCATTTTTTAATGAACAAGAACTTTGAAGAACACCAATCGACACCAGGAGCATTCAGAAGATATAATCCCCCCCTAAAAAAAAGTTGCAAAATCGTATCGCCTTTATGGCAATATTAAAAATGAAGCTTCAATTTTAATTCCCGAAGCGTGTGCGTTTGATATATATTGTGCTGTATCTAATGTCTTGACGAGACAACTGAGAGAATTTTTCTTGATGCGAAAGAAGAATGTGGTTCACAAACATGAATGGTTGAAACTTGAAATCGTGTAAAGATGCACAAACATGAATGGTTGAAACTTGAAATCGTGTAAAGATTACCGTATGAATCCTTATCTAAAGCGATTCACATCCTATGATTTTAAAAATTCTTTTACGAAAGTCCATTAACCATTTCCGTCAGTTCAGAAAAATTTCATGGGATATACATCACTGGAATTTCGAGCTGCGGAAGTTCTTGACTTACAGCGGTTAAACTGTAATTCAAATTTAAAGAGAAGCGTAGGTGGTTTGATTACGAGGTCAAACCCCGAGAAAAATCTTCAAGCATTCCGAAATCACATGAACGCGTTGAAAACTGTATTTTTATTTTATTTATTTATTTATTTTTCTTTCGCAGGAGAGCGTTTTGCCGGTCATTGACATCACGAAGAGACACGGGCAGGAAATTCATCTGACTGAGTTAACTTGGCCCGGGGCTGAGTTACTGGAACGTCAACGCAACACCAAGAAACTCCGTGATGAACTCGAGGACCTGCGGAGCCAATCGCTGGACGCTGCGATTCGGGCAGAAGTCGGCGGTCGGATGACGGAGTCTACCGGCGCCGTTTTTGGGCGCCCCTTATACACGAAGGCCCTGCTGGAGAAGCGATCGTCATCGGACAAGGAAACATTGGTTGCTCGATTAACTGTGCCGAAAAGTGTCGCCCAGCGGATGAATTTGCCCATTGACGAGCCGGTGAAGCGCATTCGAGTCGATGGTCGGGAATGGGCCGAGTTGATGTTGAGACTCGGGCCTGGAGTTTGTTGATTGATTGATTCGACATTCTTGCGTTTTGTGATCCCGGTCGGTTTGTGATCCGAGCGCCTGTGAAAAAAAAAGTGTGTCGTCTGAACCCCGTAAGCAGAATGAATTTTTGTTTGAGTTCTTTTTGTTTAAACCCCCGACCACCCTGTTTTTTTATTTTATGTTGGCAACGTCCATTGCGAGTATTTCTTTTTAAAAAATTAATCAAACATCAGAAAGAAAAGGCTCTGAAGATGGTGGTTGTTGAAGTGAATGAGAGGATTTTTTTCAATATGTCCATGATTAATTTCGCTGTGGATTACTGATCCCAATTACAGTATTCGTAGTGATTCGCGAAGCAGCTGTTGCAGTTCTTCCCCCGGACAAGAGAAACAAGGAATTGTGCAAGAAATTTTTTTTTTTTTTTTCGCCATAGAGATGTTTTCTAATTATAATTCAAGTAACTTATATTTTCGCTGCGTATTCAACTTCCGAAAATCCAGAAATTTCTTTGTTATTTTCTGAAATTGTTTGAAAGTTATTCATTTGACGTGGTTGCATTTGTTCAGTGCGGATTTAAAAAATGGTATTATTTTTTATTGGGTGGTTCACTAGCTACTGGCCACAAAAAAATATGTGTATTTTGCCTAGACGTGAGCACGAAGTTGGGAAATTGTTGCATTGGGAACATTGAACTACTGTACAGTATTTATTTGAGTACCACCTTCACCTTTTTCCTCAAAAATTAAACTCATAAAAGGTTGCGCGTCATACTTCAATATTCAGTTAAATTAAAAGAAAATTTTTTTTTAAGATTAGAATGAGTTTAAGTGTACGTTTAGGCTCAAATCATTCTGGCAGATAAAAACGTGAAACAAGAATAAGTGCATCAGAATTTAATTCTAATTTTAGCATTCATTTACTAAAATGCATTGATTTCGTATCATGGAAAAGTGGGTTGCGTGTCTTACATGAGGATTTCTTTCTCGAAATTTCTGTCTCGAAAAATCAAGTTGCCTGTCTTACATGAATGTGCATGGTACTCAAGGAAATATGGTCTTCAAAAGTAAATAGGAGTATTTTTTCGTCACAAAAGTTCCTTCAAATGGGAAAGAGAATAAAATTGTTGGTATTTTAATGTTAAGTACTCCTCTGGGGATTTTTCCCCTTATTTCTGTTATGTCAAACACGATCCCTTGAAATTACGAAACTTGCCTGATTCGAGGATTTTTACATTTCTGAGGCAACAAATTTCAGAATTTCATGTTCACCCTGTAGTAAAATACACATGTTTTGTTGATCTAAAAGCGAATGATGTTACTTTTTCGTTTCAATTGGCAAAAATTTGCTACTACCTGGTTGATCGCCAGGATTTCGTTTTTCTTCTCGTGTCCGACTGAACTTGCTGAAATTCACGCGTTTTCGTGGGTGTAGTAGCTATTGAATCGCCATTTATTAATTTTTTTCAGGGCGATTTTTCTCGTTTGCGAGTTTTTCTTTTTTGGATTTTTTGCTGTGTTGATGCATTTTCTTGACCGTCGTCCATGACAGCGTATCACGACGAGGTGGAAATCGAAGATTTCGAGTTCGACGAGGACTCCGAAACTTACTACTATCCGTGCCCCTGTGGCGACCGATTTCAAATCACGAAGGTTTGTCTTTTCTTGCAGGAAAAAAATATTTCATGACTCGAATTTTCAAGCTATTATGATAATTACAGGAAGAACTTCTCGCTGGAGAGGAAGTCGCTACTTGTCCAAGCTGTTCGTTGATCATCAAGGTCATCTATGACCCTGTGAGTTTTTTTTTCCTTTCATACATTTGTATTGAATAGTGATCAAAGTTTTGTTGAACCTCCTGAAGGTGAAATATTTCCGGGGAAAATGAAAATGCACTAGTGTAAAACCTCGATAAGCCGCCTCTAATTGTTTGTGAGGTTTGTTGCGGTTTAACGGGGTTAGTGGTTTATTAAAGAAGGATATTCAAATATAATTAAATTTGAAAAAATCATTTTTCTTCTAGAAAGCCGTCAAAATAACCTTGGGATCTGTGAATAATATCTAACTAATGCTCTCTATAATTGAATTATGTCGTCTTTGTGTTTGAGTTTTTTTTATTTATTTTGAGACTTCTCGCAGAAAGTTGAATCTTGTTGGCGGGCTATTGAAGACAAAATTAATTGGAAGGGGCATATTTGAATTGATAATTTTGGTGAATGGCATTTTAAAGGGGTTTCCAATCCTTAGGGAAGACTGTTTTGAAAAAATAAATTAGCAGTTGCCGAGGGTGGCGTCCAATAGGATTTTGTCTGTGTATGAAGTAGAAAATTAATTTTGAACCGCTTTTCAATCAACAGTATTTAAAAAGTGTAAGATGTCAAAATCTTGATTTTGATTGAAATGGAATTTGTTTTCAGTGGATTTTGTTTCATATTTTTTGGTAATACTTATTGTAATTGCCACGATTGAAGGGAAAAAGTAAAAAACTAACTCGAAAATGGCATTTTGGTGTCTGAAGTAAAATGGGTGGTGTCTAAACAGAGTTTGACTTCACGTGAAGTGGAAAATTAATTGTGGACCACTTTTCAATCAACAGTATTTCAAGATGTGTTAGATGTAAGAAATCTGGATTTTGACTCAAGTGACATTTCTTTTCAATGGATTTTGTATCATATTTTATTGGTCATATTTTAATTTTCACTGTTATCCCAGAAAAAATATAACATTAAAATAGTTCTCAGATTCTGAAGAAAAATGTGTTCAACCTTGTCATATTGAAAGAAAAGCAGGTATTTTATTGGTTACTTCAATTTAGTACAGTATTTCAGAAATATTACTCCACGCCAGATGGTTGTTGCAGAAATAAACTCATTCATACATTAGAAACAAGGCTTTTAAAGTCACTTTTTTCACCAAAAGCTTGTGCATCAGTGAGATAAGAATCTGGCATGAAGGATTTCCAGATTCTTATAACCAAAGAAAAGTTAGGTTTATATAAGTGAGAAGATCTCAAGATTTGTTAATCAGGTCAATTTGTAAATGATTAAAGAAAAGTTGAAGAACATCTTTAGCTTCAATTGAAGATGTTGCAGAATTTTGACAGCATGAAATTTGTGGAGTTATTTGCTTTGGAAGTACTGTACATGCATTGAGAATTGCGCAATAGGCAAAGCATCTTTTCTTTGCTGATTTTATTTCTTTTTGAAAGCAAGTTTTTACTGCACAATGCAAGATTGTATTGTGTGATTGTAGTCTTCATGAAACCTGGGATCAGAGACAATAATTAAGCCCTGTTTTAACATCCAAGGAGTGAGGATGCTCCAGCTTCCCTTATTTTTGCAGTCATAATGTAGTTTTGCATTTGTAAAATTAAATTCCCTTGGAGGCTGGGTAACTGCCTCAGCACTTGGATGTCTGTTGGATTTGGAATGTTTTCAATGTAGCTTAAAATCTGTAATAGATGCTAGACCGTGTGTCACACACACACACACACTATGGTTGAATCTTCTAGATTCTTGTTTGAGGAGAAAAATGCTGCGTTCTTATGCGGAAGTGTTTTTTTAAATCCTTGTAAAATCTCGTTTTTTTCCGTAGGATGACTTTGTTGAAGATACGAAGGAAGTGAAGAAAGTGCGAACGAAGCCCGAGTTGGCCGAGGCGTGAATACAATAGACCGTCATGGGTTCACGGGGAAGAGGTCGTGGTCGGGGTCAGGGCGGCACGTTCAGCATGGAACAGCTCGGGGTGCAAAAGGTCAGTGTCGTGTGTGTGTTCATACTGTGGTGTAATCTGCATTTGATCCCCTTTCTAGTACTGTATTGTACCGTCTTGACTCGAGTACCAGCAAGAAATCGAGTAAGACGCACACCAATAAAAAATAATTTTGCAATAAAAAATTATTTTTTAATAACATTGTTTCCCCCGAGTAAGACGCGCACCTCATTTTCAGTGACTCTAGAACTGAAACATTTTAAAAGTAAAAACCTTCGAATTTGGATTTGGACATGAATTGATCCTGAATTAAGCTAATTTTCAATTATTTTGGTTGCCAAGAGTTTTTTCTATTGAAATTAGTTCAGAATTTTCCATTAGAATCAAATATAATTTACACTTGAATTTCTAAAACTTTTTAACAGGGAATTTAATACACGCGTATGACGCGGTGGACAATGTTTCGAGATGCGGACCCTTTGCCAATATTTTCCAGAAAAATCGGAAAAATTATGTTTTTATCTTTTGAACAAATTAAACGAACAGAACTAATTACAGTATATCCAAAATCTTACAAAATAATTAATTGACTTTGAATCATGATGAAAAAAAAATGCTTAAATTTGGGCTTTTTTCAGTTTTTCCCATCATCTCTATGCAGTGTAGCGAGATGTACGCTTTTTCTTGCTTTTTGGGATCCTTTCTTACGCGAAAATATCAGATTCTGCATGTTTCTTTTCTGCGCAGTTATTTTCTGTATCTTAAAGTTGAGAAGAAAAATGTATTCAAATTTTTATGGACTTCTTCATAATTTTTTGATGAACAGAACATCAGTGAGACTTCAATATGCGGACACCCCAACATCCAAACAATTTGACTTAGGGACACTTTAAAACCAAAAAAATCAGGCCTGACATCTGGACATTGGCTCGAGTTAGGGACACTTCTCTGAAATTTTTCCAAAAAATTGAAGAAGTTTATTACCATGTTTTTTTACCACGTTTTTATGAACTCACTTTCTTGTCTGTCTGTCTGATTGTCCGGATCAAATTTTGAAACTCAAATTTCACTCACTTCCAGACTAGCTAGCAAGCTGAAACTTTCAGGATAGCCTAGAAACTGATGACAATGCAATCTTATGTGAAAAAATTAATTTTAAGAATATTTTTTAAAAAGAATAAAATAATTATAGTAGATTTCTATAATAAAACTTTGAGCAGGTTTTCCTTGGCCCCAAGAAAAAAACCCATGGTGAACTGAATTGGT